ATCTATAGTTGACAATACAGTATGAGTGAATACAATCTAAACCAAATGGATGATTCAGAGATGATTCAGTCATTTTAAGATCAAATGCAAGACTGATATTCAAGTGAAAGAGAAGAAATGGATGCAGTTCTGCACATACCTATTTCGCATGACAACTTTGACTTAACCTCTTGTTTTAAACCAAAATCTAGGAAACAGGATTATCACAATCACAGCTGCCAAATGCAAACACTCTAACGGAACCTAGCACTTCAAATTGCTTGACGCAACTTACTCATGTTTGAAAGAAGTAGGAAAGGGAACCAATGATCTATACATCTTTAACAACAAGGCATGAACAAAGCTAGAAACTGACTTCAGCAAATAACACAACATGCATCTTTAATCCCAATTCCAGTAGAGTAACATCTGCAATGGTGCCAATCCTAGCCAAAAGTGAAGCAGATCACTAGAACTGTGGGCAGGTAGATAGTTGATCCAACTGATAAGAATTCAAGCGTCCAGATAGTCATACATTTCTAACGTTAAGGCATGAATGAAAACTACGCATGACTCGACTGATTTTAAGGTTAGTACATGAATAAGCATGAAATTTCAGGAAAAATACACGAGTCCTTCGCTGATTCAAATAGCAATAACAAACCACCTCCGACAGCTTATGATAACAGAACACCAAGCAAAATTAACCTTCAGACAGTTTAGGAACCAATTCTCCAAACATTTTCAGAACTAACTATGATCGAACAGTGATAGACGAGGCAGACGAACACACAAATCACATGTTTCGATGGATTCTGAGACTCGAGGACCATACAAACACTCCCTAGCACACATATGAAATCAGGGAAGAAGCTAATTCAAACCAAAGGAAACAAAAAACAGAGCAGTGAGATGAGCTTAGGACAACTACACAAATCTCAGTCATTTTTTCAAACTTCAGTCCATTTCATAGCTCAAGAACAGCCAAAACAGAGTTACATGGTGAAAAAGAAAATCAAACCTGAAGTCGCAAACTTCTATTAATAATTACAGCCTTAATAACATGCCTTTCGCCTTGGAATACTAGCGAGGTTCAGCAACAATTCAACAGAACAACAACAGTAAACCCGAACTTAAACTTCAATTCTGCTTTTCATCTCTTTGGAACTCCAAGACGGACTCAAAAAAATAAAAATAAAAATAAATGTATATGCTTCTCTTAACCTTTGAAAGAACTCCTCCCGAAAAAGAAAATTGAATCATAAAACTAGGAGTTTTTTAAGAAACCTTTCAACCTTTCTCTCCAAATTTCTTTTTTTTAGAGTCTCTTTCTCAAAATCGGAATTGGCCCTTATATGAAAACAAATCCTTGATGAATGTAGGGCTCAGATTGAATGAACTCAATCTAATGCCTCACAGTCATCCAACGAATCCGCCTCTAGGACCTTCCAATCGTGTGCCTTATCTCCAAATCGAGCGAGTGAAGGGAAGGAGAATCTTTGGTGTCAGAAATAGTTAGAAATGGTGATGAGGATAGAAGGAGGAACGCGTGAGGAGGGATTTGAGGCTCACTCGCTTGGATTTGGACTGAAATTGAAGCTTGGTTCGTGGGAGAAAAAGAACAGTGCGGCTGGGGTGTTAGAGATTAGGGCTCATCCGTGTTCTGTGTTTAATCGATTATTTGGGGGAACGGGTCGGGTCATGTTTGGTTTGGGGCATGGGTCTGGGCGGGTAATGGTTATTTGGGCTAGGGGAAGTTTGGAAAAATTGGAAGGGATTTGGGCTTGAGGGGTTTTAATAGCTGTGGCCCAACAATTGGGTATTGTTTAATGAACCCTTTTTTTTCATTTTCATTTTCTATTTGCTTTTCTTTTTTTTTCTTCAGATTTTGTAAAATGCAAAGTTAAATTAAAGACCTGATTTAATTCCCAAAACTAAACTAATTATTTTCTCAAAATTGATTAAGTCCTAATTTTTTTTTAAAAAACTATGACAAATTTAAAAGCTAAAAGTTAAAAATGCAAAATGAACTACTTTTGTTATTTTCTTCCATTTTTGTGACATTAATTAACTAATTATCTCAAAAAGTAAAAAAAAAAAAAACTAGGTCCTAAATGCAAATGCACGATTTTTGTATTTTTCATTACTTAAAATGAAATAAACATGCACAAACAAATGCAAGCAATTAACAGAAAATGCCATGAAAATCAACAAAATTAAAAACATTGAAAGAAATTCTTTTGTTTTGAATTTATGAGAGTAATTCATATAGGGCAAAAATCACGTGCTCACAGCTGCCCCTCTTTGCTCGGAAACACGAAGAGCTTTCGTGCAAAGACAAGTGAGCAAATACGAGCGATTTTTGCCCGTTTGAATACTCCGTGTGAAGCATTTTGAAAAGTTTGACCGCACTCTACTGCTGAGGTTGCCTACATATCCTTGGCTAAAAAGGAATCAGGTCAGTGTAGTTCGGGAATGTCTGGTAGCTGGGACTACCATGAAGTTGTGGTTTCTATGTTGTTGCTGCTGCTGCTTACTGAACCCCCTTATTACACCTTGTCAAAATAAAAAGAAGCTAGACTAAGCTATGATCTATGAATTACAAAAGTCCTATCTATGTCTTCAAACTTGATCTTGCGGTTCTTGTTGCCTTGTTAACTTGTATTCTCCTGGTGGAATTCTTTTGTTGTTGCCTTGAACTGTGATCTGAGATGTCTTGCCATTTCTCCGAGTGATGCTTGACTGCTGAAATTTGAAATATATGCCTCCATTCTCCAGGCGGGCTCCTAACTGCTAAAAACTTGAAATAAATGCGTCTGTTCTCCAGGCGGGCTCCTGATTGCTAAAACTTGAAATAAATGCCTCTGTTCTCCAGGCGGGCTCCTGATTGCTAAAACTTGAAATAAATGCCTCCGTTCTCCAGGCGGGCTCCTGATTGCCAAAACTTGAAATAAATGCCTCTGTTCTCCAGGCGGGCTCCTGATTGCTAAAACTTGAAATAAATGCCTTTGTTCTCCAGGCGGTCTCCTGATTGCTAAAACTTGAAATAAATGCCTCTGTTCTCCAGGCGGGCTCCTGATTGCTAAAACTTGAAATAAATGCCTTGTTCTCCAGGCGGGCTCCTGATTGCTAAAACTTGAATAAATGCCGCTCCAGGCGGGCTCCTGATTGCTAAAACTTGAAATAAATGCCTTCGTTCTCCAGGCGGGCTCCTGATTGCTAAAACTTGAAAATAAATGCCTCTGTTCTCCAGGCGGGCTCCTGATTGCTAAAACTTGAAATAAATTCCTCTGTTCTCCAGGCGGGCTCCTGATTGCCAAAACATGAAATGTATGCCTCTGTTCTCCAGGCGGGCTCCTGACTTCAACAAAATAGACAAAAAACAAAGAAAGTTTTCTGCCCCAGTTTGGTGGCTGGGCATCATATTACCAAATACTAATAAGAGTTTGAAAGCTAAAATTTGAATTTTGTTCTATAGGCGGGGTCCTGACTGCTGAAAATTGAAATAAATGCCTCTGTTCTCCAGGCGGGCTCCTGATTGCTAAAACTTGAAATATATGCCTCTGTTCTCCAGGCGGGCTCCTGATTGCTAAAACTTGAAATATATACCTCTGTTCTCCAAGCGGGCTCCTGATTGCTAAAACTTGAAATAAATGCCTCTGTTCTCCAGGCGGGCTCCCGATTGCTAAAACTTAAAATAAATGCCTCTGTTCTCCAGGCGGGCTCCTGACTGCTAAAACTTGAAATAAATGCCTCTGTTCTCCAGGTGGGCTCCTGATTGCTAAAACTTGAAATAAATGCCTCTATTCTCCAGGCGGGCTCCTGATTGCTAAAACTTGAAATAGATGCCTTGTTCTCCTGGCGGGCTCCTGATTGCTAAAACTTGAAATAAATGCCTCTGTTCTCCAGGCGGGCTCCTGATTGCTAAAACTTGAAATAAATGCCTCCGTTCTCCAGACGGGCTCCTGATTGCTAAAACTTGAAATAAATGCCAGGCGGGCTCCTGATTGCTAAAACTTGAAATAAATGCCTCTGTTCTCCAGGCGGGCTCCTGATTGCTAAAACTTGAAATAAATGCCTCTGTTCTCCAGGCGGGCTCCTGATTGCTAAACTTGAATGTATTCCCTTGTTCTCTAGGTGGGCGCCTGATTTCAACAAAATAGACAAACAAAGAAAATTTTCTGCCCCAGTTTGGTGGCTGGGCGCATCATGTTACCAAATATTACTAAAAATTTGAAAGCTAAAACTTGGATTGTACTTCCCTTGTTCTTAGGTGGGCGCCTGATTACTGAACTTGAAATGTATTCCCTTGTTCTCCAGGTGGGCGCCTGATTGCTGAAACTTGAAATGTATTCCCTTGTTCTCCAGGTGGGCGCCTGATTGCTGAACTTGAAATGTATTCCCTTGTTCTCCAGGGGGGCGCCTGATTTCAACAAAATAGACAAACAAAGGAAATTTCCTGCCCCAGTTTGGTAGCTGGTCACAGATGTGAGTGTTAAACTAAATTATTCTACCAACTATTATAAGAATAAACATGCACAAACAAATGCAAGCAATTAACAGAAAATGCCATGAAAATCAACAAAATTAAAAATATTGAAAGAAATTCTTTTGTTTTGAATTTATGGGAGTAATTTATATAGGGCAAAAATCACGTGCTCACAGCTGCCCCTCTTTCGTCGGAAACACAGAGAGTTTTCGTGCAAAGACAAGTGAGCAAATACGAGTGATTTTTGCCCGTTTGAATACTCCGTGTGAAGCATTTTGAAAAGTTTGACCGCACCCTGCTTCTGAGGTTGCCTACATATCCTTGCCTTAAAAGGAATCAGGTCAGTGTAGTTCGGGAATGTCTGGTAGCTGGGACTACCATGAAGTTGTGGTTTCTATGTGCTCACAATAGGAATGTGCCGCCAAAACTTAAGGGCAAATGTTACAGAGTAGTGATTCGACCGACCCTGTTGTACGGGGCGGAGTGTTGGCCAGTCAAGAGCTCCCATCTGTAGAAGATGAAAGTAGCAGAAATGAGTATGTTGAGATGGACCTGTGGGTGTACCAGGAAGGATAAGATTAGGAATGAAGTTATTCGGGACAAAGTGGGAGAGGCCTGCGTGGAGGACAAGATGCAGGAGTCGCGGTTGAGATGGTTCGGTCATGTTAAGAGGAAAAGCATTGACGCTCCTGTTAGGAGGTGTAAGAGGTTGACGATGGCGAGTTTGAGAAGAGGTTGAGGCAGACCTAAGAAGTTCCAGGGAGAGGTGATTAGGCAGGATATGGCGCAGCTTCAGCTCACTGAGGACAAGACCCTTGATAGGAGGGTGTGGTGGTCGAAGGTTAGGGTAGACGGTTAGTAGGTAGCTGAGAGTTTCCTCCTTTCTCACTAGTAGTACTAGTAGCTCGCTTGTACTTTCCTACTTCTCAAGTCTATATTACATCATGTTGTTTAGTTTATTTCAGTTATCGTATTCCAGTGTTGCTACTATTTTGGTGCTACTTATTCTCCCCCCCCCCCCTCCCCTCTCCTTCTTCCGTTTTCTTCTTCTTTTCTCCATATGCTTCTTCTTATTCTGAGCCGAGGGTCTATTGGAAATAATATATCTACCTTCACTAGCTAGGGGTAAGGTCTGCGCATACACAATCCTCCCTAGACCCCACATGTAGAAATATACTAGGTATGTTGTTGTTGTTGTAAGGTCTGGGTAACATCCATTTCTATTAGAATCCAAGCATATGTGATCCGGTCCACCTTAGAAGTACAATCATATACATACACAGGTTTCCCTATGAGACTGCCAGTTCTACTTAGTGACTCCAGGCTCCAAAAACGTGGTGGAAGATTAGGCAATTTTATGCATAAAGGTATCATATTGAATACTTCTTTTTTGATATCAAAATTAGGATCCCATATTTTTGATATCACAAGCTTATTTTTTAGAGTATGGGTTCATGAATATAGCACCTCATACCTCTCTTCAAAGCTAGCAAAACGAATAAGAAAGTAACTCTCATTGTAGTAATATACCTTAGGTTTGGCGATGCAGTTCCAATTTCCAGCAATGAACCTCTATGGCACCAATGGAAGGCGAACTTCCCACAACATACATGATTAGGGCATGCTTCCATTTTGCAGTTTCCTTATCCAATTCTTCTTATTGTAGTTGAGCCACCATCTCCCCATCAACAATCACCGGTGGGATATAGGTCAGCGTCATTTCCTTCATAGTTAGCTTGTTTTCACTGAACAAATTGACCCATGCTTTCTTGCCCTCCTGCACCCTCTGTGTGTTTAGGGATGGCAATGGGGCGGGGCGGGTTTGAACCTAAGCGGGGCGGGTTTGTGGCAGTGCGTGTGCGGGGCAGGGCGGGTTGAATTTTTTTAATAAAAACACTTGCGGTTGCGGGGCGGGTGCAGGTTGACGCGGGTATGGCTGCGTGTTTGGCCATGAAACATGTACTGATTCAAAATTTTACATTGACACTAATAACATTCTACTAGTGTTGTCTATTGTCACGATCCGGTATTCCCATCGTCGGTACCGTGATGGCACCTAACATTTCACTTGCTAGGCAAGCCAACATTAGAACAATTTATCTCTTTTAATAGTTTAAAAGTTAACATTAAGAAAGGATTGAATTAACTGAATTAATCTAAAGTATAGATGCGGAAGCTAAACAAGCCAAACGTCTATTACAAATCCCTGAACCTAGTGTCACAAATGCACTAGCTACGAGAATAGTACATACAAGGGTCTAAAATAACATAAAGCTATCTGAAAAGAAGGTACACAGCTAAATAATAACAAGAATGGGACTTCAGGAGCTGCGGGCGCTGAGTAGCTAAACCTCAAGTCTCTGTAGGCTGTCTAATCCAAGCTCTCTAATAGCCGCCGCTGGGACCGGCTCCAAAATTTTCACAGAAGTGCAGAGTGTAGTATCAGTACAACTGACCCCATGTACTGGTAAGTGCCGAGCCTTACCTCGATGAAGTAGTGACGAGGCTAAGGCGGGTCACTTACACTACAACCTGTGCGCAGTATCTAATAATGACAGAGAAATAGCAATACGCAACAGGGTAAAATAGTCAACTAGGAATAATAACCACCGCCTCAAGAAATAAACCAGTGTCGTCCAGAATTACCAATCCTCAACAATTCAAATAAAAATACCGGAAACCGACTCTGCTCAAGAAAAGGAAACATATAGGTTGTTGCGGCGCGCAACCCGATCCCACCAGACAACACAAAATTCTCCCTCATTCCACCGTAATAGCATCAATATCAGAGATAATATATATATAAATATGTTGTGGTGCACAAACCGATCCCACCATATATCAATATCAGTATCATAAATCACCCTTATTTCACCATATCAATCCACCCTAATTCCACCTGTTGCAGTGTGCAACCCGATCCCACCATATAAAACATATTCACCCATATTCCACCATATTAATCCACCCTTATTACACCTGTTACGGCGTGCATCCTGATCCCACCATATCAGTACCAAATACTTAGAGCATAGTCAAATCAATAGTTCAAGCCACAAAACCTTTAAAATCATAAATACCAAACTGAACCAAAAAGGAAAACCTTGTACAACATAGAAATCTACACGAGTAATACTACATAACGAGATCAATCCAGTAATTGACAATTAGAAGGTGCAACTAAGTCAATTTAAGCAAATACCAGAGAATCATGAAACTATGGAAAAGCTAACATCATTAACAAGAGAAGATATTGATTAACAAGTAGCAGTTAAGCATGGAAAGCATTTAGAGCATAAAACAGTTAAGATAAGGAAGGAAATAATTAAGGGAAAACGGAAAATCAGGGAAACAGATAATTCGGCGGCATATAAGCACTCGTCACCTCCCATATACGCCGCTCACATGAAATTCACATAACACATAGTCCGAGGATTCCTAGTTCCCTCAAGTCAAGGTTAGACACAACACTTACCTCTTTCCCAAAGACCACTCAAAACTCAACCACAGCTTTGCCTTTCAAACAAGCCTCCAAACAAACAATATCTAGCAAATTACTAACCAAACGATTCAAAATAAGCCTTAGGAATCACCCACGATTACAAAAGATTCAATTTAGGTCATTATTGAAAAAGTCAACAAAAGTCAACTCCCGGGCCCGCCTGGTCAAAACCCAAATTTGGACAAAATCCCGATTACCCATTCACCCCCGAGCCCGATTACGTAATTTGTTTTGGAATTCGACCCCTATTTGAGGTCTAAATCCCAATATATCAAAAATCCCTAATTCTACCCAAACCCCCAAATTTCCACCATGAAAACACAAGATTTTAGGTTAACAACTTGTGTAATGCAATGAAAGATTGAAAGAAAATGGGTTAGAATCACTTACCAATGATTTGGAGAAGAAAGAGTCTTGGAAAAATCGCCCCTAGGGTTTCAAAGTTTTAAAAATTTGAAGAATGAGTGAAAATCCCGTTTTTCTAACTATTTGATCTGTTGCAGGTATCGCATTTGCGACCTGGGGTTCGCAAATGCGAAGAATGTCCTAGGCCTGCTGTCCTCGCAAATGCGAACCAGTGTCCGCAAATGCGGACTGTGAGGATCGCAAATGCGACCTAGAGCTTCGCAATTGAGAAGGTCCACCCCCAGCCCCACTACTCGCAAATCCGATGGTCTCTTCCCAAATGCGAGGCTCGCATTTGCGAGCCAGACCTCGCAAATGCGAAGTCTGCAGATCTGATACACCAGCTAGTTCTAAGTCCAATTATTCATTGCGTAGCCTATCTGAATCTCACCCGAGCCCCTGGGGCTCTAAACCAAAAGTGCATACTAGTCTAAAAATAGCATACGAACTTGCTCGTGCGATCAAATCGCCAAAATAACACCTAGAACTACGAATTGATTACCAAATCAAATGAAATTTTCAAGAAAACTTTGAAACTTCTATTTTCACCACCGGACGTCCGAATCACGTCAAACTAACTTCGTTTCTCACCAAATTTCACAGACAAGTCATAAATATTATAATGGACCTCTACCGAGCTCCGGAACTAAAATACGGTCCCGATATCAACAAGACCAATCATCAGTCAATTCTTAAAATCATTAAACTTTCAAACTTTTAATTTTTCATCAAAATTCCATAACTCGAGCTAGGGACCTCTGAATTCGATTTCGGGCATATGCCAAGGTTCCATATTTCGATACGGACCCACAGGACTATCTAAATACAAATTCAGGTCCGTTTACTCAAAACATTGACCGAAGTCAACTCAAACTAATTTTTAAGGTAAAAGTTCTTATCTATATCAGTTTTTAATATATAAGCCTTCCGGGTCAAAATCGAGACTGCACATGCAAATCGAGGAAGGCTAAAATGAGATATTTCAGGCTTCGAAACATAGAATTGGGTTTTAAAAAAAGAGATGACCTATCGGGTCATCACATTCTCCACCTCTAAAACAACCATTCGTCCTTGAACGAACATAGAAAAGTACCTGAGCTGGTGAAAAGGTGGGGATATCTATTTCGCATATCGGACTCGGACTCCCAAGTAGCTGCCTCAGCAGGCTGACCTCTCCACTTCACTCTAACTGAAGGATAGCTTTTTGACCTCAACTGACGAACCTACCGGTCTAGAATAGCTACCGGCTCCACCTCATAAGTCAAATCCTTGTCCAACTAGACAGAGCTGAAATCTAGCACATGAGACGGATCACCGTGGTACTTCCGAAGCATGGACACGTGGAATACCGGATGAACTACTGATAAACTGGGTGGCAATGTGAGCTTGTAAGCCACCTCACCCACTATCTGAAGAATCTCAAAAGGCCCGATGTACCTGGGGCTCAACTTGCCCCTCTTTCCAAATCTCATTACACACTTCATGGGTGATACACGGAGCAACACTCTCTCTCCGACCATGAATGCAACATCACAAACCTTATGGTCGGCATAACCCTTCTGCCTGGACTGAGCGGAGCGAAGTCTATCCTGAATGATCTTAACCTTATCCAAGGCATCCTGTACAAAATTTGTACCCGATAATCGAGCCTCCCCCAGCTCAAACCATCCGACCGGCGATCGACACCGTCTACAATATAATGCCTCATAGGGAGCCATCTGGATGCTCGACTGATAGCTGTTGTTGTAGGCAAACTCCACAATTGGCAAGAAATGATCCCAAGAGCCTCCGAAGGCAATAACACAAGCACGGAGCATGTCCTCTAATATCTGAATAGTGCGCTCAGACTGCCAGTCTGTTTGAGGATGAAATGTTGTGCTCAACTCAACCTGCATACCCAACTCACGTTGTACTGCCCTCTAGAAATGCGAGGTGAACTGTGTACCTCGATCAGATAGACACGGGCACACCGTGAAGACGAACGATCTCGCGGATATAAATCTCTGCCAACCGCTCTGAAGAATAGTTAACTACCACAGGAATGAAATGCGCTAACTTGGTCAGCCTATTCACAATGACCCAAACTGCATCGAACTTCCTCTGAGTCCGTGGGAGTCCAACGACGAAATCCATAGTGATACGCCCCCACTTCCACTCAAGAATGTGTTTCTTCTAAGGCAAACCACTCGGTCTCTAGTGCTCATACTTTACTTGCTGACAATTTAGACATCGAGCTACATATGCAACTATATCCTTCTTCATCCTCCTCCACCAATAATGCTTCCACAAGTCTTGAAACATCTTTGCGGCACCCGGATGAATACCGGGAACTATGGGCCTCCTCTAGAATCAACTCACGAAGTCCATCCACGTTAGGCACACAAACACGGCCCTGCATCCTCAAAACACCATCATCTCCGACAGTAACCTGCTTGGCATCTCCATGGCGCACTGTGTCCCTAAGGAAAAGCAAATGAGGGTCATCATACTGTCGCTCCCTGATGCGCTCAAACAATGAAGACCGAGCGACGGTACAAGCTAGTACACGACTGGGCTCAGAAATGTCCAACCTCACGAAATGATTGGCCAAAGCCTGAACATCTAATGCAAGTGGTCTCTCACCGACTGGAATGAATGCAAGGCTGCCCATACTCACTGACTTTCTACTCAAAGCATCGGCCACCACATTGGCCTTCCTGGGATGATACAAGATGGTGATATCATAGTCTTTCAATTGCTCCAACCACCTCCTTTGCCTCAAATTGAGCTCCTTCTGTTTGAACAAATACTTCAAGCTCCAATGATTCGTGAATACCTCACACGGCACGCCGTAAAGATAGTGCCTCCAAATCTTCAGCGCATGAATAATGGCTGCTAACTCTAAGTCATGAACAGGGTAATTCTTCTCGCGAACCTTCAACTGCCGCGACGCATATGCAATCAACTTGCCCCTTTGCATCAACACCGCACCAAGTCCAATATGCGATGCATCACAATATACCGTACAGGATCCTGAACCTGTGGGCAACACCAACACTTGGCGTCGTAGTCAAAGCAGTCTTGAGCTTCTGAAATCTCGACTCACACTCGTCCGACCATCTGAACGGGGAACCCTTTTGGGTCAACCTGGTCAACAGGGCTGCTGATAACTAGGGATTTTGCCATGTTTTATACTCCTTCTTGCTTATGCTTTGGTTATAAATTGTTAAAAAATAGTCCCAAAAGGCTCATAAGTGTGTTTGATTGCAGGTTTGATCGACAAAGTGATGAAATGTCAAGGATTGGCTCAAAAGGGAGTGAAACCTGCTCAAGCAGCAAAGACAAGGCAAACTGAAGATAAAAAAGACGAGTGCGGCCGCATTCGACTTTACGCGGCCCACACTAGGTAGATTCAAGGCAAAACACCTAGTGCGGCCGCAGCCCATTCTGTACGGTCCGCACTAGGTGGATTCAGAGAGTTGGCATTTACAAGCTTCAGGCAATGCGGCCGCTGTACAAATTGTGCGGCTCGCGCTGAAGGCTCCGCGGCCACACGACCATTTTCTGTGGTCCGCAGAGTAGAGATTCAGAGAGTTAAAATTGCCAGATTCCAAGCCTTTGCGATCCGCGGTCATCTTTGTGCGGACCGCGCTAGCTGCCTCCGCGGCCGCGGTCCATTCTGCGCGGTCCACGGAGCCCAACTTCAGAGAGCCAAGTCTTGAAATCCAAGAGCCTTGTGCGGCCGCGGTCCATTTTGTGCAGCCCGCACTGACCCCACAGGGGTATTTTTGTCCAGTTTTCCAGCCTAGTATAAATAGGACATTTTACCATTTTTAGGTCATCAGTTATTTCCAGACTTTGGGCTGCGCTCGTGAGACTCATTTTGTAGCCATTTTTGGCGTCATAGCTTCAATTTAACGATAGATTCTTGTACTTTAATTTAGTATTTAATTAATATATCTTGTTCTTCATCTATTTCTTCATTTTCTCCTTCAAGCATGAGTAGCTAAACCCATTAGCTAGGGTTGTGGCTCAACCCTAGTGTGGGTAATTGATGGGTGTTGCCATCTAGGGTTAGATTGACTATGGGTGTTTGCTAATTGGGTTGATTTTATGTTTTAATCTATAAATTGGTAGTTGCAAACACTGATTTATGCTTTGTGAATTTGACTCTTCTTGAGAAAGAGAGTCTAAGTCTCCAAATTGACCCAACAAGGAATTGGGATGGACTCATGAGAAATGATAGTCCCAATTAATGGGTTAAACCTCGAGAGAGTATTCACCCTACTTGAACCCTAGTTGCTTGATCTAATTTGCCTACCCATTTAGTCTCGAGAGAGTCAAGTAGACAAAATCACTCTCTCTACCGAGAGGTGTGAGAGTGGGTAAAATTGTGCAACGGTTATAGCATAAGCCCCAATTATGTCAATCGAACCTTAGTAATATCTACCCGTCAATTAGCCACCTAGGTGATGTCACGACCCTAGTTCCCTTCTTCCCATTAGATACAACTTTAGCAATTATCTCGTAGCATAATCTAGTTTCAATTAGTAGTTTAATAATAGAAGTTTATAATTGAAAAAACCCAAAAATGTTGGAAGTGACATTTAGAACAATTACACGACTCTAGTCTAGATAGATACCCAGCTCCAATTTCTAGCTCTTTGAGGAATTCGATCCCGACCCTCATATCGGGTAAAAGCTATTGCGACCCTCTCTTCCTACTTTATAGTAGTGTGGAGTTGGCAGCGATCACTTTTTGGCGCTGTTGCCGGGGAGCTAACGGTTTTGGCTATCTATTTAGTTAGTTTTGTGTGTTGTTCTTCTTTCCTTCTTATTCTAAATTGTGTGTGTGATTACTACAGGTAGCCAATGGCTTTAAACGCGAATGACCCTCTTGGAAACGTGCTTGCGGGGGAGGAGGTAGATGAAATTGGAGAGGATGAGATGCCTCTTGTACCTCCCGGATGTGGACGAGGCCGCCAGGCTAATGCTAATGACAACGTTCCAGACCCTCCTCCGCCACCTCCAAGAGCGGTTCCTCGGGTGCTACCAAATCAAGGATATGCGAGTGCGATTGTCCCTCCCAGAATCCGGGCAGGCAATTTTCAGATAACCAACGTGATGTTGACCTTACTTGAGCAGCGTGGGTATTTCACGGGCGCTGCGGATCAAAATGCCTACAAACACTTGAAAGGGTTCGTGGATACATGTTGGGGTAGCAAGCAAACGAATGTGTCCGAAGATGCTCTTAGGTTGAGACTTTTCCCGTTCTCACTTCGGGCAAAGGCATTGGATTGGTTAGAGAGACTCCCCAATCATTCCATCACAACTTGGGATGAGTTGGCGGATAAATTTGTTGCTAAATTCTTCTCACCCGGGCATATGGCGGCACTTCGAGATGAGATATTGGCTTTCAAGCAAGAACCCACGGAACCTTTACATGAGATTTGGGAGAGATTTAGAACAATGGTAAAGGAATGCCCCAACAACGATATGACCGGGGCGATGATCCAACAAACCTTCTATCGGGGCATCAATGTCACACCTCCTTTTTTACACACCTACCTCGAAGGATAAATGTATAAGGGAGTTTTTCCATTTAAAGTGACATTATTCGAAATGGGATCATTTGTTTGATTTTAGAGTCGCCACTTGGGAAAGGATTGGCTTTTGGTGTCCCAAGTCACCGATTTAATTTAAATCCCAAATCGAGGAAAAATACGACTTCCCAATTGGAGTCTGCGAACCAGAAATTCTGAATAAGGAATTCTGTTGACCCGAGGGAAGGTGTTAGGCACCCTCGAATCCCGTGGTTCTAGCACGGTCGCTTAAATTATTATAAATGGCTAAAAAATTTTATTTTTATACATGTTCAAACCTATAGTGCAATTTTATAAATTTGTTTAACCGCTTTTAATTAAATTTTTTAAGAAAGTTGAACATCGTTTAAAACATGTCTTTGGACCGCGTCACATGAAATGCACCCGCAATCCTAAACATATTTCATTCAACATTTTGGAATTTGGATTTGGGCGACATAAATGTGCACCCGAGTTTAGGAAGGTAATATTATTAAGCACGCACCTAAAGCAACTACGCGTCTGCACTTTGCGAGGGCCATGGAATTTCGCTAAATGGCACGCCTCGATTTCTAAAGGGCTAATTAATTACGCGAGGGCCATGGGTTATTTAATGAAAATGGCACACCTCAAATTATTAAAATAAAGGAATTATATTCAACTAAAGCGAATTACGGGGTTCATGCTTAATCTAAATCAAAATTCGGTCTCGAATCCATCAATTCTCGATTTTAACATCACTACTCCGACTTGAAGCAGCAAAGTTGGATGTTCATAGGATTAAAATATCCTAAAAATAAGTAAACATAAGCAAATTCCAAAACTGGATACTAGTCTTCAAAATCTCTATTGCTGCAATAATTGCTTAAGCCAACCTGACAGTACAAATGAAAGCTAACTTAAAATTTTGTAACCCCTGTTGTTTCTTCTTTATTTGTTAATCCACTCTATTAGTCTAACTAATCACTTCACAATACAAAAATAACACATTAAATTATTTAGTAAAACTAATTACAATTAAACCAAATAAACCAAATATCTAAGGCATTTATGGGAGACTGGGCAGAGAAGCAGATCAAGACTCTTAAGTAGAAGAAAGCAATTAAAGAAAAGACAAATGAAGAATAACAAAAATATCAAACAGACTCACGGAAACTTGAGCGAACACCATATAAACCGGAATGGAATGGGAAGGTCGACATTTATATTGACAAATTTGCCTTGGATATTACAGTTGCACTCTCAAGGTGAACGAAGCGTAAGAGTCTGACCAACGACCGGAGCTCGGAATCTCGTCAGCGACCTCAAACCCGACTGAAATTTTGGTTCTGTTTCGCGGTGGAATTAGCAACAATCTGAGCTACTGTTTTGGGGTTAAAGAGTGACGACAACTACGATTTTTGTAATTGATGTTGCGGGTTTAAAAGTAGCTGTTTCTCGGCTGATTTTGCCGGGTTTGAGGGGTTATTTCACGGTCAATTTTCAGCTTATTCCAGGCAATTTTTGGGGCTGTTCTGTGCTGTTTTTCGCTGGACGCTTTTTGAAGAAGATCAAGTTTTGGAGAAGTCCGGGGGGTCGTGTTCTGCTCAGCGGCGGATTTCAATGTATTTTTTTTAGGGTGTGTGTTTTTAGGTGTCTATGATGTTTAGGGTGTAGGTAGTATTATATAGGGTAGGGATTAGGTTAGGGGTATGGGCCTAGGAACTATGGGCTAGGGATTTTGGGCCAAAGATAAAAAAATGGACTATAAGATTTATAAAAACGGGATAAACCAACCTAAACTAATTCTTTCTTCTAAAATTATGTACAATTATAATATAAAAATATAAGACTAATTTTAATTAATTGAACTAAACTATAAAACATAAAACTACTTTTTTTGTGTGTTTTCAAGATTATAAAAATAAAGATAGGGTACTATTTTGACTGCCCCTCTTTGACTGGAAACGCGAAGAGTTTTCAGACAAAGAATGACTAGACAGGTTTTTTGACCCGACCCTTATTTAAGGAGAGCAAAAACTAAGAGGAAGGAGAATGTGACCGAGCCCTGGTATCTGAGCTGCCTACATATCCTTGGCTATAAAGGAATCAGGCCATGTGTAGTTCAGAAGTGAATGAGATGATGGAGTACCGAGGTTGAGAGCCGAGCGAGGTGCCGTTGAGGTTCCGGTCCGCGGTCCCGTTATTACATCAAAATCAAAAATGAAAAAGACTAACTAAGCCTATCAGCTACGAGTTACAAGATTCCTATCTATGAGTCTTCTTAAGCTTGATCTTGAGTCTTGGTTGGTTCTTCATGCGGACCCTGATCTGAATCTTGATGCTTGTTAGCTGCAGGTGTTGGTTCAATCTTCTTCAGTTTTTCATACCAAGACAGGACATGCAGAGCTTGTGGCCTCAGCCGTGTCTTGAGCAGCTCACATTTTCCATCAATTTCTGCATTTTGAATTTACTTCTTTTCTTTTCTTCTTTTTCTTTATTCTGGATTGAGACTCATTCTTTTGGTCGTCTCGAACCCTGTGTCTTGAGGTCGACCTGCTTAAGATACCAAAACAAACAAACGAACGAAATTTTCTGCCCCAGTTTTCACTAGGAAGATTTCGTGAGTTAGTTGTGACACATATCTAAGCGATCAAATCAGGATTGTGTAGGGAGATCCTCGGTTTTTGGCCGGGATTTGGAAAGAAAAAGCTCCTCGGTTTTTTGGCCGGGATTTGGAAAGAAAAGGCTCCTCGGTTTTTTGGCCGGGAGATCATCGGTTTTTGGTCGGGATTTGGAAAGAAAAAAACTCCTCGATTTTTTGGCCGGGAGATCCTCGGTGTTTTGGC